CGGCTCTGGCGCCTCCAGCCTGCGCCGACGCCCGGGGCGCCTCGCGCAGCCGCGGGCCGTGCCCGGGCCCCCCGCGAACACTTCACGGTGCTATTGCTGTCTCTGCTCGCTTTTCAGACCTGTCCCCTGCTATTGCTTCTGTTCTCTGCTTGTTCCCAAGGCTTCTGCTCTTGAACCCTAACTGCTCCTGCCCTGTAGGCAACTCTGATATTTAAGGGTACAGGAATCCAGAGTGGGAGATCTTTAACGCCACACACCTGCTCTCTGCGACTATGATGTATGTCCTGCTATATCCTCAACTTGTAAAATACATTTCTGTTTTCTGTTCTATATGGGACAAATCACCGCAGTAGTATCCAAGCATCCCAACTCTGCAATATCCCCTTTGTCTTCTAGTCCTGATCTCTCAAAGGGAGAGCATATGGTTCTGCTTCTTCCTTATGGTGTTGTGTATTCCCTGCCTGATTATCCAGGAACACTGACAGGTCTCATAATCTTGGAATATAACTCTTCACTTACTAATCTGGTTTTAGACTGCTGCATAACTGATACTAAAACTTATATAGAAGAACATGTTCTTTAGGCTTTGAATTTCTGGCATATCTTTCTGGAATATGTTCCCAATCATTATTAAATGCAATGTAGTAGTTCTGTGGTGGATGTACACGTCTTCTATTGGTACTAGCATTATTACTGCTCTAATAACTTTAGTCATCATTTATTGAGGTTTTCAAGGTGAAGCTCTAAGTGTATTCTATAGTTCACATTAAATACTAACTTGTGCAACCTTTGAGAGCATGCTTTCTGGGTATATTTCTAACCTGCTGTTAGAAATTATACTTTTTTTTCCCCCCCTGTCTAGCAGCTGCAAGGAGTGGTGATCCAGAAGGGGTATGGAGATTCAGGGTTAGCAAAGTCTGGTCCTTCTCGTAAGCAAGTTTAACTTTTCAGAAAATAAGCTGACAAGCTACTGTTGCAGTTTGTTTTCAGTTTTTTTTTAATCTTACTGCACTGTCTTTCAGGTTAATAATATTAGCATTTGCTACTCAAGTTAATCAAAAGGGAAAAAGTTAATTTCAGGAAAAAAAAGTGATGTGTAGGGGGAAAAAGATGCAGTTGTTATAAAGAGTACGCAAGTAAAATGTTAGTGTTAATAAGATCTAATTAAAAAAAAAAAAGTGAAATTTTGACTCAGTTAAAGTCAGTCATGAAGCTTCCATTTCCTTAGAAGGGTGTTAGAAGGGGTTAATATTTTGCCTTGTATGTGACTTCTA